TTTCCTACCTGCCTGTCAACATATGTATTTGCATACCTCTGCGCACCCTGTTCTTAGCCAATGAAAGGTATTAAAAATAGCTTGTGATGTGACTAAATCTTGTTGGATCTTGCGAGGGTAAATAAAGATCTTGTTTGAATAAGTACAGCATTTTCTTTACGCAAGAAACACTATGTCTATAAAGGCTCATATTTTATGTATTTGAGGTCTGCGACATGGGACCGGAGAGAGAGGGCTAGCATTTGCGATCTAGTCATAGCCAATAGCCTACACTTAAATAGCCTGTGCATGCCAGTGCAAACAGTAGCATTTCATCTTTTATAAAATGAGATTTTGGCCAAATGTATTTTACAACAGGAAAAACTGAGCGCCCATATAGCTACAACAAACTTTGTAACCTGTTGATCAAAACGTAATGTGATGCTGCCGTTTTAATGATGGACAAATTGCACATTTGCACACACATTCGCTGGTCAAAAACCCGGCCATAACTGCATTTGAGTTTGACACAAAGTTAATTGGCTTTCCTACCTGCCTGTCAACATATGTATTTGCATACCTCTGCGCACCCTGTTCGCGTAGACAGGATACGTCATCAGCGCGTTCACGCACGCTGTGACGTATATATATATATAAGTCATCTAAAATCTGATATCTTCTGCGTTCTTCATGTTTATAAATGCTGTGAAAAAGAAACATTGGTCCAATGCTGCTGTCAAAAAGTTTTTCGTTATTACTTTTTATACACACAATATCGTTTTGTCTTCTAAATAAAATCAAGCACAAATGTGGGACAGTCGGACTCCAACATGCCACATTAAGATACCATTATTCACAGAAGGGTGCCCTTTTTGTCAGTTTCAGCACATGCCCCTCAAAAGGTCTGTGCACGGCCCTGCTCCGCGATGTTCATCTCGCCTTATTCTCCCTGTTGAAAAAAGGCTACAACGGCCTAACAAACTATGGAACAAAAAAGAAGGTAATTTGAGAAACATCTCTTTTTTTTTCTTGGTTCATGCAATGTAAGTCATTGGTAACCAAAACAGCTTTGTTACCAACAGTCTTTAAAATACCTTCTTTTATGTTGCACACAAGAAAGTAAGGCATTCAGGTTTGAGTAAATGATTACATTATAAAAAAAATTTTGGGTGAACTATCCCTTTTAATTTTTTTTTTAATGAAATAATACACTATATAAGAAACTAAAACTGCCAACAGGTGGCGGTAAATGTCTTCATGAGTCATTTATTCATTCATTCGATTCGTTCAAACGACTGATTCATTCAGGAATGAAGTAAATGGCTCTCTTCATGAATGGGTCTTTGAATCATTGGTTCACACGATTCGTTCAAAACGCGGATTCACTTTTTTTTTCTTGGTTCATGCAATGTAAGTCATTGGTAACCAAAACAGCTTTGTTACCAACAGTCTTTAAAATACCTTCTTTTATGTTGCACACAAGAAAGTAAGGCATTCAGGTTTGAGTAAATGATTACATTATAAAAAAAATTTTGGGTGAACTATCCCTTTTAATTTTTTTTTTAATGAAATAATACACTATATAAGAAACTAAAACTGCCAACAGGTGGCGGTAAATGTCTTCATGAGTCATTTATTCATTCATTCGATTCGTTCAAACGACTGATTCATTCAGGAATGAAGTAAATGGCTCTCTTCATGAATGGGTCTTTGAATCATTGGTTCACAAGATTCGTTCAAAACGCGGATTAATTCAGAAACTAAACACCACTGTGCTACTCAGAGATGCACAACAGTTCTGCTGTGGCTTTATAGCTCATAGGTTTTTGTTGGCAAAACTGAGCAAAAACAGACAATACTGTGTTTAAAATATAACGCAATATTAGCTTATTATTTACTGAACTGTTGTATAAAATCACATTTGCACTCGTGGTATTCGGACATAAACAGCACTCGTGTGATATTGCTCTCACTGCTTGTGTGATATCGCTTATCATGTGATATAAATATGAGACAGAAACTCATACAGGAGCATTTTTGCCCCAATATCTTGATTTTTAGGGCATAACTGTATTTATGGAGTTGTTGCCCTGCATAGTATTTGTCAACAGTCAACTGTATGAAATATAAGATGACATACAGGTTCGGACATAAACAGCACTCGTGTGATATTGCTCTCACTGCTTGTGTGATATCGCTTATCATGTGATATAAATATGAGACAGAAACTCATACAGGAGCATTTTTGCCCCAATATCTTGATTTTTAGGGCATAACTGTATTTATGGAGTTGTTGCCCTGCATAGTATTTGTCAACAGTCAACTGTATGAAATATAAGATGACATACAGGTCTGGGGGCGGGGCCAGTGCGTTAACTGCGTTAAAATATTTTAATCACGTTATTTTTTCATAACTAATTAAGTTAACGCGTTAAACTGACAATATATATATATATATATATATATATATATATAAAGAACCTTTTGTGCACTGGAAAAGTTACATGGATGTTAAAGGTTGTTCATGGAACCACTGATGCCAATAAAGAACCTTTATTTTTAAGAATGTAGGCCTTCATCTAATCAATTCCTATAACTAAATAATTACTGTACGTTTATACAAATTTATGTGAAGATCTGAGCATCAGAAACACGTCGCACCCATAATGTCTTTATAAACATTTATTGATATCCTCCTCTGTCCTACTTTCATATTATTTAAGGTTTCATTTAGATCTTTCGAGTTGATAGAACCTCAGCAGAGCAACAGCTGATCCAAATGTGCACGTCACGTGTCCATTACATAATAATAATAATAATAATAAATGAATGAATGGATAAATTAATGAATGAATGCATTTATTTATTTACGTCAACCCGATCTCATGAGAAAACGTATCTATTTTAAAAACGGTCGATTTAGTATAAAATTGATTTGTATTAAAATGCATGAAGCTCCATCCGTAAACCTGGGGTCAGTTGCATAAACTTAGCCTCTTGTAACGAATCAGTCCACTGAAGGCGAGCGTAGTGAAGAACCCATGTGCAGTTTATTCACAGACGTGATCCAAACAATAAATGAAGACTAGAAACACAGACTTGACTTGACGAGGCATGAACAGACTTGACTAGGCATGAACAGACTTAACTAGGCATGAACAGACTTGACGAGGCATGAACAGACTAGACTCACCGACAGC